GAACAGATGTGGAGACAGCACAGATGCAGGTATGGGTACAGATGTGGGCACAGGCACAGATAGCTCATGGCTAACCCTTTCTTTTCTGCTGAGACAGAGGACCCTATTGTTGGAGTGTACCTATGCTTGCTTATCCATTTCCCTTTGGTGGACCTTTGGGTTGCTTCCAGTTTTGAGACATTGGAAGTGAGGCAGTAGCTGCAGCCATAGGCTGCACAGTGGGGGTTCTAACAGTGCTGTGCTCTGCATGTCCGCAGATGTTGGGGTCCTAAACACTGATAGTCCAGGGCCGTGATGGGAAGAATCAAGGTGAAATGAGGCCATCACACTAGATCCTGGCTTAACAGGACTATGCTTTTAATAATTGATCTGAGAGCTCGCCTTTTTCTCCCCCTTGTGCCCATTTGCGTTCTCAAGAGACAGCCATCCGTGAGCCTCCATGGAGTCAGTGGATCGCAGACAAAACTCTTTATGAAAAACAACTGCATCTGATCTACACACGGACAGCAATATAACAACTACTGGCAGCGCTTACATTGTGTTATGGGCTACAAGTCATCTAGAGATTGTGGGCTTTGTGCAAGCACCGTCCATTTCACGGGAGGCATCTGAGCATCCTTCCCTTTGGGTATCCACTGGGTACTGGGACACCAAGGAATGACTGTTTCTATGTTTTTGCCAGTAAATAACTAACTTATGAATTACACAATTCAAGGCAACAAGGGTCGGGGGTGGATCTGGATTCAGATCTGTGCTTGCAGAATGCAGAACAACATCCCAGACCTGTCTGTCATACAAGCTTCTCAGCTAAGGGAATGTGTAGGGAGGACACGGTGGAGTAGTAGGAGCAGGCTGACCAGTGACCGTCCGGAAGCCACTTTCTGGAGCACAGTGTCAGAGGTGCCATCTCTTCTAGCTTTATGGCTATTTGCAGCTTGACTCTAGAAAGGCAGCTAAAGAGAGGGACACTGAACTGAGCCTACGAGGCAGCAAACAGCTCCAGGAGAGGAGCCACAACAGCAGGGAAACTGTGCCAAGAGCAACAGGAAACTCAAAGCCACGCCCCTGCTCGATGAGCGAGCGCAGGCCTGGAGGCCCGGGTTATTTGCTCCAAAGGACCTTGTGTAGATGTTACATAAACAAAACCTCCATTGACTCCAGTTCTGTGTCTGGCCTAAAATAGCCCCGGGGCTAGACTCAACCTCTGTCATCCCTCGCGGTCCCCCATGTGTGCGAGCTACTGCCCTCATTGAACCATGTGTGTGGACACGCTGCAGCCTCCTCAAGGGACAACTTCCCCTAGGACCAAAGGCGAGGCTCCTTGGCTGCCCATGGCAGCTCAGACACAAGGTACCGCTCTAAGACCTCGGATGGCTGTTGGCCAAGGGACACGTCTCCTTTCTCCAGGGAGGTAGGAAGTTGGGGGAGGAGTGGTTAAAACGTCCCCACCCACTGCTTCCCTCCCGTCTTCCCCTTACTGCCTCTCTCCGCTTCCAACCTTGCTCTTCCTCCTCTGCTTCCTTCTCTTCACGTGTTCTCCTTTACCCCCTCTTTTGAGTAAGGTAGAGAGACCCACAAATCAAGCTTTCCAGGTTACAGCAGGAGATTTCCTTCTTGGGGTTTTTATTTGCATCTGATTTAAGACTGCGCTTGACTGACTTGGTGCTTGTACAAGTTTCCCAGGCCTTGCTTGGGTTTCAGCTCCTTCATTCTGCAGAAAGCCAGTCCTGTGTGAACATCTGGAGACTTAAACATCTGTGCCCCAGCAAGGGGTCACTAGCTTTGCCACTTCAGCGTGGGCCCCTGGAAACTGTTGATCGTCTTTCCTCCTTGGCCACTTGCCTTTCTCTAGACTCTTAACTGATAAAAACAATAAAGCCATACCTATGTGTCAATACTAATGCCGGATACGTACTATACACTTGGTATTACAGAAAGTATTTGATGTGTCTTGTTTTACTTAATTGTCACTGAACAGTCCAATATTTGATGTGTCTTGTTTTACTTAATTGTCACTGAACAGTCCAATGACATTTGCGTTATTGTCTCCAGGCAACGCAAAACAGCAGGTTAGAAGAATAAGAGGACTTGTCGGAGATGCTACAGGGCTGGGTCGCAGGCATGAGTTGACAGGACTATTGTCATGCCCTATCGGCTGCATCTCGTGCATCTGAGAGCATCTGCCAGGGCTCACAGTCCCTCTTCTTCTTGCTCTTCTTTCTCCTCAAAGAGTAGTCCAAGCTACTCTTTCATTTGTCCTCCTAATTAAACACAGAAACCAATGTTTATCTAACATGATCTCTGAGACCTGGATGAGCAATATGCTCTTGAAGCCAGGTATAGCAATAATAATAATAATATTGTATACTTGTTTCTATTATATTTTACCCATGCTTGTACTTGGAAAGAGGTCTTTGTGCTTCCCTGGGTTAGACTCCCAGATGCAGTATAAGCTAAAGTTCTAGCCCATGTAGACGAGGGAAGAAACAATGTGGAACTGAAGCGGAGGCCCGTGAGAAGCCAACACTCAAACCAGGGCAAGTGCCAGGCTGCAGCAAGCCAGTAAAGGATCTTGTCACTTGGGAGCCCTTGGTTCTCTGAAGATTGTAGTTCAAATCTCAATGGGATATTCCGTCCAGGACCCTCAGGGATATTGGCCCTAGGATGACATGTCTCTTCCCCTGGACCTGAGGAAATTTTGTCTTTATCTGAATCAAATGATGTAAAAGGGGAGGGGTACCTGTGTGTTAGAACTTTTGGTACTGGTACCAGAGTACCTAAGGGAAACATTTAAATGGGAGAATCCTTAAGGCTCACGGTTTCAGAGGGTTCAGTCCATGGTTACTTGGTTCCGTGTTTCCGGGCCTGGAGTGAAGCAGTATGTCAGGGGGGTAGAAAGGTGGGACCAGAAAGCAGAAATGAGGTGGGGGTTTGGGACAAGTTACGGCCCCAAAGAGCATGCCTATTTGACCTACTTCTTCCAGCTAGGGCCTAAGGCTTCTAGAACCCACCTGGATAGCACTACCAGCTGTGGTCTAAGCTTCAGTGCGGTCTAAGCTTTGGGAGCTCCTTCCCATTCACATCATAGCGTCCTACTTCTGGGTCACCCTGTGCTTTTAATTTACTCATTCCATCCATCGACCTGTCTATTCATCCATTCATCCTGAACAGTCCTGAAATATCCACTGTGTGTTAACACAGGACTCTGGGAAGGCATAAAGAATGCAGATATGGTCCTTGACTTCCAGGAGTTCACATTCTAGAGCAGGAGACAAAACTAAAACAGCCGTGGGAAAGGCCGTGGAAGATGCATCTAGGAGCTCGGACAGCCCAAGTGAGGCCCTGCTTTGGTCTCTGTGCTAAGCCCGGGGGTTATCTGTGTGCGCACACGTGCTTGTGGCAGAGGGACGGAACATGAGTGTATGTGGTGGCTTCCCTGGAGAGATTGTTGGGCGCTCGAACTTCTCTGGAAACTCCATGTGCCCGGGACTTGTGCTCCAGTGCCGAATACCACGCCTGGCCTCTCCTCGTGCCCTTTGCTCATGTCTCCCCAAGAAAGCAGGCATGATTTATCTGATTGGAGAGTCAGGAGTTCAGAAGTGGAAACCGGGACAGGGTGACTCAGCAGCTCTGGGCTGGGTCACTGCCTTCTGCCCTTCCCGAGTGTAGTTTACAGAAGATGGCTGTTGCCAAGGTGCTGACGGTAGTGCTCAGGAGGGGAAGGGGGAGACAGTGCGAAGCCCATTTGGCTAATATAGTTAAGGCCGCTTTCAACAGCCTAACTTTCATTAGTGTTTCCTGTTTTGATCTCCTTTTGCCTGACGCCCGTGGCAAGGAAGAATGTAATTGGACTCATGTGAACCGCAGCACAGATGATACTTAAGTGTGGTCCGTAAGTGGATGACGGGCCCCGTACTCATCTCTCTGGCCTGACAGACAGGAATGTACATCCCACGTGCTAAGCCCTGAATGGTAGACCTTGAGCTCTGTAGGAAGGGTTTCTTTGACCCCCGCCTTCCCCCCATCTTTGCAGCTCCTTCCGACCAGCTCCGAAGTGAGACGAAGGGAGAAAGAAGAATGAAAACGGCTGAATGGTTCTGTTCAAGCTGGGCCGGTGCCACATGGTACTGAACTTCCTCTGGGTCATCCTGGAGCTTACCTTGTCTCTAGAGAAGACTCTCGGGTCCTCTCATGGCACCTTTGGTTTCTAAGGCCCCTTTAGGAAATGTCCTCTGGCTTGCTTTTCCGGAACACCGCGGGCCTCTTCTCAGGCATGTCAGTTTCCTGTGGCGCTGAACTTCGGGTTGTACTTGTTCCTAGACGTTGTAATTATTGTCCTGTACCTCCTAGGTCAGGATTGCTGCCTCTTTTCCTTCGGTGATAGATGGCCGAGAAGCAGAGAGGCAAGGGACCACCCAGAAAGGATTAGCGAATCAGAGAGCCCCCACGGAAACACTCCGAGTAGTCTCGTTTCAGACATCGGACTTGGCTCCTTCGTTCATCAGCCAGTTCCTTAGTTGGCAACTAGCTGATTTCTTTAAAAACGTATTTTAACATTCAACTAGCATACACAAAGCTAGGTTTCATCATAACTTTTTTAAAAGTAGGTTTACATTATGAAGCCAGGGTTGAACTAACAGACATTGGCCTGCCTCTGCCTCCTGAGTGCTGGGGTCAAGGGCCTGTACCACCACGCCCAACACCATGATGGCATTTTCAAACCATGTTTGTGGGCTTTGCTACCCCCTTCTCACCCATCAGAACCCTGGTTCTCCCTGTACCCCCCCCCCCCACCCTCCTTTTTCTTCCCCTCTCATGTGCTTTCCCCCCCCCCCCCCCCCCCCCAGCCTGTGGCCTCCTTTCTGGTTCCATCACCTCTATCCACACTCAGCCACACTTACACACATACGCATTGACATTATAAGCTAGGATCTGTGTGAGAGGGAAAACATTGGAGTTTTGTCTTTCTGCCTCTTTTCTTTTTTTTAATACTTTCTGCCTTTTATTGTAATACTCTCCAAATCATTTTTCTTTTTTTCCTAAGTGTTGGCACAGAAAGCGTCTGAGTCAGTGGTAGCCCAGTAGAGGGCGCCGTTTCAAACAAATCCCACAGTCAGCCAAACAGGTGGTCCTATGTATGCTTTGGAAACGCCATCTGTTCAAAAGTTCTGAGCCAGACCAAAATTTGTGGGCTCCCCAGAATTTTACATCCTGCTCCCATCGGCAGAGCTTAGTTTGGGTCCAGTGTGACAGTTTCCACAGTTCAAGTCGTTCGGATTCCTTAGCCAGGTCCTGGCCCCAGCATGGTGCAGGAGCTGGGCTGATCCACTGACCTCGTACTCACACACACCAACTAGTGTGCTATCGAGTGCAGTCTCCGGAGAGAGATCCTGGGTCAAAGAATCCTGTGCCTCAGGTCTGGGGGACATTAGCAGTGGCAGGCTCTGGCGACAGTGGCCAGGGAGGTGGTACATTCAAAAAGAAACGTGGTGGTGCTAGAAGGGCTGGAGAAACGTCTGTGTGAGCATGAGAGCCTGGGCCCACAGCGCCCAATCAAAAGGCCTAGTCCAGCCAAGCACGTCTGTAGTTCTAGCTCTGGGGAGGGTGGAGCCAGAAGGACCCCTGGGGACTTTGGGTCAGCCAGCCTCGTTGAACTCCAGGTTCAGTGAGAGACTGTCTTGAAAAATAAGATGGAAAATGGTTGAGAAAGACGCTTGACATTGACCTCTGGATCCCCCATTTGCAAGAACACACGTACATGCACCCACAGCCCCATGTACACATACACAGATAACGGAGCCTGCACTTGCTGAATGCAGCCAGCTCCCTGTGGGCCCTTGTGCTGGACTAAGGTCAAATTCTGAAGAGCCATGGGTGTGATGAAGACTGGCTGGCTAGACCTTCCTGAGCAAGACAGCTGTTGGGATGGGGGTGCCCCAAGCTAGACCACTCAAAGTCTGTGTGCATGAGTGGGCACGGGGTTCGCTGTGTGAATTTGTCTGAGAAAGCTTGTTTTCAAAGTTGATGGCAGGTCATGGAAGATACCCGAAAGAGACAAAAGATGCGGGAAACGTCAGCATCTTTAAGGACTTACTGCTGGCTCCAGGTTAAGATGCAAGCAAACCTATGGTGACGTAAGAGGGGCCCGAGACGGTCTGTAAGAGGACATCAGCAGGCGCTAGTTTTCCAGAGCTGTTTTTACCAAGGACCACAGACTGTGTAGCTTCCATAGCAGGCCTTGATTTTCTCGCAGTGCGGGAGTCTGGGTGCTGAGACCACCGCATTGGCCGTTCTCTTCTTTGGATGTCCGTCCTTCCCCTGCCTCTTTATGGCTATCCCTCTGTGCCTGCATACACCCTGGGATCTCTCTTTTCAAAAGGGAACCAGTATCATTTGATACCCCCAATTGAACACACACACACATGCACACACACGTGCACGGCTTCATTTCAACTTACCTTCTTTATCTACAATACAGTTACATTCTGAGATACTAGGAGATGGGACTTTCAGTGCATAAATCCAAAGAGAGATGACATTACTCAATACATAACATTGTGTGGGTCTGTGAGGCTGAAGCAATTGTGCGACTACCCTGAGTGATATCAGTTGTTACAACTGATAAAAGTTTTGAAATCTTGGGGTAGTTTCTGTTGACAGTGAAATCCATTTCCAGGAGCTGGAGGTTGAGAGATGGCTCTTTGGGATGCAGCAATACAGGTACCTCGCTGCTATCTTTAGAAAAAAGATTTTATTTTATTTTAATTGTGTGCACTCATGCACATGCACTTACACATGCCAACACACACACACACACACACATGCACACATGCACATGCAGGTGCCACAGAGGTCAGAGTCACTATATCCCTGAACCGGAGTCGGGAACTGCCTGACATGGGTACTAGGGCCAGAACTAAGGTCCTCTGGAAAAAAAAAAAAACAAAAACAGTATGCCCTTTTAATTGATAGATCATCTCTCCAGCCCCAGCTGCCATCTTCAGCATGTGTTAAGTCCAAGGACACTGTGGATTGAGAACCAGGGAAAATATAAAAGGCATGCAACTATTTCTTACCCAATTGCATTGCAATTGAAAAAGCTAGTTTTCTGGGCTCTGTTGCATGAACAGAACTTATGTACAAACTTGTGGTTTGCACATAGACTGGGAAAGGAATAAAGGACTTGGTAAACAGTCAGTTTTTGTAAGTCAGTCTCAGTCCAAAATATGATCCAGTTATTCGGAGGAAGTACTAACTATACCAGTGTTTCTCAGCCTTCCTGATGCTGTGACCCTTTAATATAGTTCCTCACGTTGTGGTGAATCCCAACCATAAAATTATTTCATTGCTATGTCATAACTGTAATCTTTGCTACTGTAATGAATTATAATACAAATGTCTGATTTGTAGGATCTCTGATATGCAACCCCCAAAGGGGATCACGATCCACAGGTTGAGAACCACTGCACTAGACAGTCAAGAAAATAAAGATAAAAGCATCATGAATCTCCCAAATACCCCAATGTCATAATGAACCTTGATCTTGAGTCATACTCTCCTACAGTCTTCAGGTCACGGGATACATAGGAAAAGACAATTCTTGCGCTGTACACCAGACTCCACAGACAATGCTATCTGAGGTCACTGTGGAGATGGAGACTGTTAGTCACACCCGTGTGCTGCAGCTTTACAGGTAGCGAAGCCATCAAGAAAACATAGAGGATGACAGATGTGTAAGATGTGGATTCCAGGAAAACTACACCCGTGGCTACCAACATGTAACAAATCGGAACAGAAAATGAAGCACTTTAAAAGCCTGACCAAGCCAGAGGGCCCCGGGGATTGAAAGATGACAAAGCATTGAGGCCATTGACTCTCCATTCATCTGGAAGTCACACTCAGCGTGCGAAGGCCCCTCTAGCAGGAGGGTCTAGAGACTCCAGTTATCGATTGTGTCCTATTTGGAGCACGTCCTCCTTTTTTCTCCTGCACAATCAACTGGAAGAGAACTAGAATGAGACCCTGACATGAGCATTAGTAACCAGCAGAAAATTCAGTGAATAAGGAAACAGGATGCTGGGTTTGGATGGTTTTCCGTAGGTTCAAGGTTTCTATAAAGGACGCATGCGTCTTTGCTTTGGTTTATCTCCTCTACTTTGAACTCACAAATATTTGGCTCCATCTCTAAATAACTTGTCTAACACTTAGCAACCACAGGAAAGAAGTCATACGACAGCACAGCAGGGAGGAGGCAGAAAGACAATTTTATAAACTAGCTTTTTATGATATGCTTTTTTTAAACAATCACTTTACTACAAGAAGACAGTTTGTAGCCCTGTGGTTATTGTCCCATCAGAAAACCTGTGTTGTGTTAACCTTGAACATTTTAAATTACAAATGCCTTATAGCACTCAAAGTTGGGTTTATGGTGCATTTTCAAATTAAACAACATTTTTGCCTAAAACCAACTCTTTCACAGAAATTAGTCTTGATTTCCACAAAGTTATGAAAAATAAACAGAAGGAATCTTCTATTAAGGTTTTAAAAGCAAGCAAATAACTTTAACGATGCTATCCAAATCCTTCGTCGTTTCCCTTCTCCGTTTTCATCAAATATGGAAACATTTAACCTCACAGGAAGAAGTGGGTGGATTTGGAAAGTGGCTGAGTTCTCTAATTTGAATCAATCCACATTAAATACAAGCTGCTGTTGTATTAACAAGTGAAGGATAGACACAACTTATGCTGAGTGGATATGGATGAAAAGTTGGTTCTCCATTGCTCAAAAACAGAAGGAGAGAAGGATTTTCTGAGATTGGGAAGAACCAAACCAGTCGTATTTCACATCCTTGCTACTCCCAGCATCCAGCCTCAGAGGGGTCATCGGTTCTTCAGACCTCTGTACCAGTAGGTCCAACAGACAATGCTCTAACTGCCTTTCCCAGCTCTCAGACTGTAAATAAAGGTCTGTACAAATGAGGTTTATTGAGTGGCATTACCTCTTTATACCTTTGTGCTGTTGACTCAACCCAATATAGTTCTTAAAAGTTGGCTATTGTTCCTAATTACAAAGAAGTGTATAAGTTTCGTTAAGACGTGAATTAAGGTATAGTTGGCCATGAGTTCAACACTAATTAACCAACTAAGTAGGGTTAGGATACAAGGTTAAGCATTGACTATTGAAGATGTGACCAGAGGCTCAAAGGAACCTTGCCTTAAATTATCCTAGGAGTAATGGTTCAGTATTACTGAGTCAGTGTTTGCAGAGAAACTACAGAACACAAATAAAGTCAAACCTGTAGTGGTAGAGGTCTCTGTGGTAGACATAGCACCCATATCTTCCAAGGGATGCCTGACTACACAGCCATGGGGAATGGAGTTGATGGGTAAGCTCAAACTAAAAAGGTCCCCCTCAGCCAAAAAGCCAGCCTGCCCAAGGCCATGCCCTCCTCTGATTTTGGACGCTCTCATGATGTCTAGCCTTCTTCCCTGCCTCGCATCATTGGGAGAAACTTTGTCAGACCTTCCTGGCAATTTGACGTAGCGATACTGCACCCTCTCCATTCTGGGGTGCTAGGTGGTGGTGAGCACCTATACCCCAGCTGTTGTTCAGCCCCAGTGTCTGAAAAAGTCGCTTATTATGATAGCTCCTGCATGTGGCTAAATGGGGAGGAAGTCTTTGAGGTCTTCCTTCTCCATCTCCCACTCTCCACAGGCAGTCTGTTTCCCTTCCCTCGCCCTCACTCTCCTACTTCCAGGGCTGGTCATGGTCTGACCTGGTCATGCACATGCTGGCATGTTGACAACCCGCCCCAAGCCCAGAGTCACTGTGAAGTCCCACTCAGGGAACCCTAGAGATATACCCAAGCCAGCCTCACACCAATAATTATAGGTCACGGGGAGGGAGTATGCTGCTTGGTGGCACTTTCTCCTCACCAGCTCCCAGCAGGTGATTGTTTAGGTATGGAGGTGGCTGTCTCTTCTTCTTCCCGATATGCCATCCACAGCATTCTCCCACCTTTCTCATTCCTGCTCTCTGGACCTCAGCTCTCCTGAGGAATGGATGCTGGCCCTTGTTCTCACTTCCTGCCCTAGCATCTTCCACTGAATGGGACCTTTCCTTGGGTTCTCTCACCCCCACCTCCTCCAAAGAGGGTTCGTGAGGAAAGTGCAAAATCACTTCCATCTTGAAGCCTTCTGCAAGGGTTTCCCCTGGAGATGTGCAATGCGTTCACCAGAAAGCCCCTACTAGGGACAGCTCATGTAGCTACTCGTTCCTAGTCTTTCTACATTAGATGCAGATTTTGTACACTGTAAGAAAGACCGCAGGATGTCTCACTGCATGTCCTTCCAAGGAACCGAGAGAAATTTATGGAGAAAAAAAAAGCTAGTATTTACTGGGACTTACTCTATGTCAAACATCCTGCTGAGTGCTTTACATATTTATTTCATTTAATCCTCATAACACCCTTAAGAGGCTGGTATGAATGACTGTATTCAGCAAGTGAAGAAACGCAGGCCTAGGGAGGTAAGTGATTTGGCTTGTACCTATAAGTCAGCAGAGGCGAGTTCAGATGCACTTTTTGCTGTCTCCCTCCAGAGCTAGGTAGAGCGTCTAATACCACATACAGAGACAGACTCAACCCACAGAACAGGCTCGTGTTGGCAGAGACAGCAGAACAGGCTGCAAGAGTGGGCAGATGGATGGGCTTCTCCTTGGAGTCAGGGGAGAATGATGCTCTCTTTTCTCTCTTTAAAGGATTCAGCTAGAGCTCCAAATGGAACTGGGAAGGAGATCTGAACAGTCGAGGCTGCTTGGCCTCATTTTGATCGTGTGCCTAATAATCTGTCATCATTTAAAGGCCATTTCCTCCGCACCTGCATCCAGAGTGCATCCAGAGGCTGAGGCCTTGAGGAGAAATCAGAGCCCCTGTTCTGTTCCTTCTCAGCTACGTGTCCCACTTCCAACCATGCACAGCATGTAGGTACCATGGCTCCACAGCCTGGGAGATGAAAGCGGGGGGAAGGGAGGCAACCACGCCCTGCCTGTCAGCCTTCCTGATGTGTCAGCATTGGGGGCAACAAAGACAGAAATAATAAAAAGACAAAACTATGAATTCAGGGATAATTCATGCCATTTAATCTGGAGACCTGAGGATGATCAGGTTTCCATGGCTTTCTGCATGGATGCTTTCCTACACCGTGGAAGAAGTTCACAGGCATCAAATCTCATGCCTGGATGTTTAAAGTTGGATCTTGCTATGACCGTTTGGTGACAGGCAGGAATTTTCTTCTTTCCTATTGTTCCAGGGTTTGTCAGGGAAAGCATTTTATATGGGGAGACTGATTTATTTTAATAATTTAATATATGCATATATTTGGCTCTCTATTGGGTCATAAATCAAAGAGCCAAACAAAGGGGCAGTGGCATTTCAATTCCCTTTGCCTATCTGGCATGCTGGGCACCAGAACTTCGGCTTTATTCTCCTCCTTATTCTCCCCAGAACCTGGGGTTTCTGGAGTCCCACTTATAACGCTGGCTTCTGCATTTCAATAACCCACCTCTGGGAACCTGGGGACCTACCTTTGAGCTCAAGCATCTTTACAGTACCCATTTTCTTGTTGAATACAGGACCTGGAAAGAAAGCGAAGTTCAAATTGGTCCTTTAAGAATTCTGGCGATGGGGTCTGGAATCCAGCAGACCTGGATGAAATCCTGACTCCCCTGCTTGTTAACTGTTTTATCCTGGACAAATTAGTTCACTTTCCTCTGAGCCTCAGTCTGTAAGTGGATACGTGGATATTGTCATGTACGGGTCTGGCTACTGTTGGGCCGAAATGAGCCCTTCAGCACGGGGAGATGTCCTTTATAGGATCAGTTGGTGCTATTAGGAGAAAGGTCAATATGCCACACCAAGCTCCCATCTAGCATCCTAGAAACACTATTAAGTGAAAGGAAGCCATAGGCAAAGTCCACATGTTATCTAATCCCTTATATAAAATGCCGAGAACAGTCATTTCTATAGAGATGTATTATAGACTAGCAACTGCCTAGGGTTGGAAGTTGAAGGGCTGGGGTTGACTACTAGTAAGCATGGCATTTATTTGGGAGCAATAAAAGCATTCTGGAAATAAGTAGTCATAAGTGTTGAAGAGATGTATGAATATACTAAAACTCCACAGAGCTGTATGATTTAGAGGGTTGAATTTTATGTATGTGAATTTACGTGTTTAAGATTTTTTTTAATAGAAAATGTGTTATGTAGCTAAAAGCTTGAACTCTGAAGCCAATTCATCATGTGGAATCTCTTCCCCGACTCCAGCCCTGCAAGAAGAATGAAATGTCATCTCGCTGGAAGCCTGCGCTGCTTTCTAGGCAAATCGTTTGTTCTGTGAAGACTGCACAATAAATGTCAACCCCGGGCAGTTTTGGCATTTGTGGGAGTGTAACACGCAGCTCTCATCTGCCTGCATGAGGCTGCCGAGCAGCGTGGATTTATGGACAGAAAGAACCAATCATCAAGCCTCTCCAAGTCCAGAGTTTCTCTGTATCTTGTCTCATCTGGGAGACGGTCCAGGTGGGAAGTGAGATGTCTTCCTCCATCTGGGATGAAACAGCAGGAGCTGGGAATGGAAAAGTTGATCAGATTAGCTGTGAAGTTTTTGATGTAGCATCGTCATTAGTTCAAAGTGAAAATGAGGACCCGGGTGTGCCCATGCTTCCGTGGCATGTGCCCGCCCCTCATATCGTGGAAAGATGAAGAAGGGACTTTGTTAAAGGGAAAATAGGGCACTTTAGGATGAGTCAGTGAGCATCCCAAGATGGACTGTATTGATTATGGGATTTCATTGAGTCCACCCAATGCTTCCAAAGTATGATTGAGAAAACTACACAGTTCTCAGACTCAGCCTCGGGCAAGGCTGTCAGCACCACTTAGGGACAGTTTCAACATGAGCAGGGCTACAAGATTTTCATGAAAAATTATTTCTTCACTGTTTTCGATGTCCATGTAGATTTGTGGCTTTTTGTTTTATTTTTTAAAATGGTTAAATATGCGTTTTTGAAAATCAAAGGCTTTTGTCTTGTTTTGGAATTTCTTCCAGATTTATGACTGGCCGGTGTTCTGTATGTCACACTGAGTTCTTTGGAGAATCTGGAGCTGGAAAAATGTCAAGTGAGGTGGGAGGATTATAAAGAGGCAAGCCTTATTCCCACCACATTAAAACATCAAGAAATTTATCAAATTCTTTACTGGAAAACTGTGAGGTGTGTGTGTGTGTGTGTGTGTGTGTGTGTGTGTGTGCGTGCTCATGCTAGTGAAAGGTGCACACACATGTGCCTATGTGAGTCTATTCTGAGTCCAGCTTCATGTTTCAGTCACCACCCACCAGGCTTTGTTCCTTTTTATTGGAGACAGTTCCTTCTGGCCTGGAACTCACAAAATAGGCTAGACTGGTTCGCCAACAAGCCCCAGAATCCACTGTCTCCCCGCCCCAAACGGAGATTCTCAGGCTCAGCTTCTTACACATGTTCTGGGGCTCAAAACCCGGGTCTTTATGCTTCCATGGCAAACACTTTACGGACTGAGCCATCTCCCCAGCCCTGAAGCACTGTTTTTAAAGCCCTCCTGGTAGCTAGGTGGATTATAGAGACTGAAAAAGCTTGGATACAGAAAGAAAAATCAAAGCGAGGCAACATAAGAAGCTCTGCCCAGATACACTGGGCTCCCCTCTGAGCTTGCTCTCATGGAGAATGTTCAGCAAGACTCAGTTAAGACCAAAGCACTGTGCTGTGTGCCATGACAAAGAGACCAAACAGGGCACAGAAAATACTCATGCAGGTGACCTGAACAGTTATCCAAGAAGCAAGTAGCTTCTACCCTGTATCAACCATCTCCCGGGCCAAGTCAAAAGCTAGGGATTTTGTCATCAAAGAGGCCTTTCTGACTGAGTCAATTTTGCTGACGAAAGAAATGGGAAGTCTGTGAAGTAGAAATCACTGAGTCCAGAATCAAGCAAGGGTCTGTGTGAAATTTCAACCAATTCAGTTTGATTTATGTTTTTGGTCAAAACAAACGAACAAACAAATAAACACCCTGGCTGTTGTACTTGTAGTTTGTTTTGATACCATGTTTCTAGAACCTTCCGTCGTGTGCTTTCTCTGTGGTTAGAGGTGCTGTCCCATCCGTGGCAGGGTAGGTCACTCTTCCTAATGCCTTCCTCTTGGTTGGTGGGCAAGTGAGAATAGCGAGGTATCCAGGCTCACCCTTTCCAGAAGCCAGAGCCTTAGTGAATCAAGGCCTAAATCACTGGTTCTCAATCTTCCTAATACTGCGACCCTTAATACAGTTCCTCAGGTTACGGTGACTCCAGACATAATTATTCTATTGCTACTTCATAACTATAACTTTGCTGCTGCTATGAATTATAATGTAAGCATCTGATATACCTAAAGGCGTTACGACCCCCAGGTTGAGAACCAAGGTTTTAGACTCTGTTCCTTCAGTTGCCCAGCAACCAGCTTCCCTGCAGCAAGTTTCCATGCTTGCTGCCATAGCTCAGAAGCTCAACCATTTCACTACAGTCTCTCTAATGGCTGCCAAACTGGCCACCTTTGCAGTCTTGCCCCTCCCAACCCACTCTTCCCTAGTGTAGAACCATTTCTTCTCCAAACAATGCTTGTTTTTTTTTTTTTTGTGAAACTTCTCCTACTGAGAAAGTTTTCGTCCTTGTTCCATTGCTCCAAGACTAGGTTTGATCTTCTGAAGATTTGTTAAGGTGAGTTTACGGTTTAGGGCTCATCTCTAAAAACAGATTTACTGTAGAAAACTCCTGACCTAGATCAGGACTGGATTTGGTTGTGAGTGAAAGAAAGCTAAAAATAGCAATGGTTTAGGTTTCACCATGGAAAAGCTGATTTTTTTTCTCTCTTTCATAGAAGGCAAATGACTTCCAGCCTTTTAGAATCCAAGTTCTTCTGTGTCTTCCACAAACTCTCTCCCCATAGCTTGCCCATCCCTGGCCAAGGGATGCTTGAGATCCAGCTCTTGAATCCACATTTTCACACATAGGAAAGAAGAAAATCCAAAGATCTTGCCCTTCCCCGCTGTGATCCCTTCCAAGACGTTCCACTTAGGAGTTCCTGTGTAGTTCACGTGTGACACGGCACATAGACACATCTGCAGCTAACCAGAGTGGGAAATGTGGTCATGGGCTTTGGCAACATTTGTCCTGTAAAAACAAAACAGAGCAAACAAACAGAAAACAGAGATCCTGTTACCAAGGTGATAAAAGAGACTAGGGACATCTGATATTGTACTCTGGCAGTGGAACCTCCAGAAACGATTCTTTCTGCTCTGGGGACCAACCTCCTCCCTCAACCTATGCTTCTCTAGCAGTATTGACAAAGCTTGTGTTCCTGCTATTCGGGAAATCTCATGGGTGTAGGTGACTATCAGGTACTGAAGCCCCAGGGTTTTCTTTTTTTTCTTTAAGTAAATCATTCTACTTAACGCTAGTGTGAAAAGCCAGTCATAGACATCTGAGACTATGACCTGGCTTATAACTCCATCTGAGAAACCTGTGCTGCAAGCATTTCCCAATGGCTGACACAGGGAGGCCCGCTGGACGGGAAATTGGACTCTGTCCTTAGATGGACTCAGGAGAGAGAATAAGTCATTCAGGGGTCTGAAGGAAGAGCCTCCTGACCAGAGTTCAGTTAGGGCCTCGAGGGAGAAGAGGCCTAGCATTTTCCATCACAGAAGAAACCAGCATGACTAGGGAGTTCTAAGGGAGGGAGGGCAAGGAGCATGGTAGGCACATGGGAACAGAACAGTCATGAAGGCAGCGCTGTGGGGAGGTCACAGTAAGAACCCAGCATAGAGCCCTTGAGTATCTTTGGTTCCAGCATTTCCTACTGGAAGACTTGAATAAGTTGGTCTAGGCATGGAGATACAGCTCATCACCGGAACACTTGCCCAGTGTGTTTGAGGTCCTAAACTTGATCTCCAGATGGAGTTGGAGAAGAGGATTAAGTTACTACATCTCCTTGTGTCTGTGTCTCAATTTTTCCATCTCCAAATGGTTTTAGAACAGTATCTTTACAGCATGGTTGTCTGATTCCATGAGTTAACATGTATAAAACACTTCAAATAGTGCCTAAAACATGATAAGCCCTCATACCTGTCATTAAATGATGTGTCCAGCATTTTGCTATGCTCATCTTTCCTCTTCAGAACCCTGTCTCCTTCACTCCCTCTCTCAATACATCCCAGGGCTTTTCACAAGCTGTATGGCTGATTTTCTAATATCTTCTATTCAAACCTCCACTCCTGTCATACCCTACTCTATACATTGAGTGAGTTGGATTAGATATGAATCTGTGTATCAGAAAACTCTAAATGTAGCAAATTATAAATACAAATCTTATTTTTTTAAGTCTAAACAGAAATGCTGACTCCATGGCTATCTATCTATCTCATGTCCCCTATCCATCTATCTCATGTCACAAGATTGTTACCCTAACTACTGAACCCTGCCACTATCCAACAAAAGAAGTCAATATATAAGTGAATAAAACAGGAAGGATTTGGGAAGTGACATTTACTCACGGGCCAGTGTACCCATGAGCATCATTTGATTCACCAATGGTAGTCGCTGGTGGCTGATCTAGAGAATGAACACTCCACTCCTTAAGGCACTGGAAATAGAGCATGAGAAATATGGAAAGATTATTAATACTTTAATAGATAATTAGTAAGTTCCAGATAAGTGTTTCAGATCACCCATGTTGACATTCTAATCAAGCCCTCCTTCTTCCTCTGCCTTCTGCAAAAGCAGGTCTTCTCATGTTGTCCTTGAACACCCTTTCCCTGCCTCTCCTAGTTCTGGATAAGGGTGAACCACCATGATGGCTAAACATCTCCAAGTTCAATAATAATACTTTGGGGTGGTATTTGGAGATCTCTTCGGCTGGTTAATCTCATTTTTAGTACAGATTTAAGTCAAGAAGATGATCGAGATTGGCAGCAACCTACAGCGTCAGGCCAAATCTTCTCCACCACTTGTTTTGTTTAGTGTGTGTGTGTGTGTGTGTGTGTGTGTGTGTGTGTGTGTGTGTGTACAGAAGCCAGAGGAAGACATCAAGTGTCCTCCTTTACCACCCTTGTCCCCTTGAGACAGGGTCTCTCATTGAACCTGGAACTCACCATTTAAGCTAGACTAACTGGTAAGAGAGCTCCTAGAATCTGCCCGTCTCTGGCACCAGTGCTGGGGTTACAGGCACATTCAGCCCTGTCCAGCTTTTATGTGGACTTTCGGGATTCAAACTCAAGACCTTAGGATTATCCAGAAGGTTCTTTTACCCACCAAGCCATTTCTGGAGGCACCTGCATTTGTTTTCGTAAGTAAAGCTTCATTGGAAGAGAACCCCAGCTGCTGATTTCCACATTGCCAGTCCATTTGGCATAGGCAGGTTCTTTCAGCAGAGTCGATGTGTAGCCAACAGAACCAAAAATATTTACTATCTGACCCTTTGCGGAAAAGCTTACTGATTCCTGAGCTAGGGCATTTGCAATGTGGAGTTTACATAAGCACAGACTGCAGTGACAAACCCATGACCAGCCTGTCACTTTTCACAAGTGGTGTTGGGCTATGACATCACCTCTCACAAGCAGGTTTTCTCACTTCTAAAATAAGGTGAAGGCTGATATCACAAAGCTATTGTGACTCATTTTTAAGACAGAGTTTTGCTGTGTAGCTCAAGTTGGCATCTACTTCACAACCCTCCTGCCAAGTGCTGGGATTACAGGGTATGAGCCGCCACATCTAGTTCCCATTATGATCATTCAATGAGACTATATAAAATTCTCAACACAGTGCTTGGCACACTAAGTTATTATTTTCTCTCTCCTATTGTTCTCTCTGCTTAGTAACTGATTGGAAAATAATACCGCATCTATTTGGATTTATCTACTGAGTAATTCCTGAGCAATAATAATAGCCTTTGCAGTTTAGATATTATCTAGGCAGGAAGAGTATCACACATGAAAGAGTTCGAGATTCTTCCAAAGTGAGCTTCAAGCACTGTTGCCAATTTTGCATGCTGTTCAAGTTATTTACAAGGGACATAAAACCAAAGCAAACCGACTTTTGGAGAAAGAACAGCATCCATTGGTTCCCGTTAACCAAAAGTCACTGGGTTAAATCTTTGGTACATGGTGAGCCCAGACACGCAAACCACATCAGGAAGAGTTTGTTCTCCTTCTGTCAGAGTCTTCTGTAGGGGGTTTCAAGTTCAGGGTTTTCCCCTTATGTGGCTGCACACTCTTGGCTTTACAAAGAATCTCCACAATGTAGCCCTCCAGGCAAATCCTAGCTGTGAATTGGTTAAAGTCTATGGGTTAAAGAAAATGTCTACATTTTTAGTGGATAGTAAAAAAAAAATATGGAGAACACTATCCAACAAAAGGAGTGGTGAATGACAAATTCAGTGATGGTGTTTATCTGTCCTTAAAGAAGAAGAAGTAGTAGTAACAACAGTAGTAGTAGAAAAAAAGAAGAGGAAAAGGAAGAGGAAGAAGAGAGGAGAAGGAGGAGGAGAAAGAGGAGGAGGAAGAGGAGAAAGCTGTTGAAGTTGTTTGTCTACATAGTAGCTCAGGTACAAACGGAGTAACCTGAAAGTTGCTTTGTTGGGACCGCGCTATTTCCTGTGCTGCCTTCTGAAATTTTGCTCATCTGTCTGCCTCAGACATCTGAGAGTGACCAAGGTCAATGGCCTCCCCAAGTCTTTTTTTGGCTGCTCTGGAGTTTTTAACCTTAATGGGTGCATTGCTCATCTCTCCAAGTTCTATTTACTACTAACTGTGGGTCTTTTTGATGGTTCTTTTTGCCTAAATGCTTCCTTTTTTCCCCTTTGGTCACTTTGAAGATTCTTGTAGTTTCTATCTCTTATCTGAGTTTGGGGATAGTTAGATATGTTGATAAATTGTCTTCTGTGATGTTTGATCTATGGGAATCCTGGATCTCCCAGATTGA